CATCTACCGAACTTTTCATTAATTCAAACGGGTCTCCTCCTTCTCGAGCTTGGTTTTTATCAAGATTTCATATTCATTTCGACAAAACCTTTTCTGGTCATTCCTTACGATCTGGCGGAGCGACTGCATTAGCTCAGGCAGGTGCTTCCATGGATTATATTAAAAGTGCAGGCCGTTGGTCGTCCGAGGCGTTCTTAATTTATGTACGCGGTCACGTGGCTTTACGTTTACCTGAAAATCAAAAACACGTAATTGGTCATGTGTCCCATGTGGGAGCTAATGTGTCCTTTGTTTAGTGGTGAGTTTTATGTTTATACGTCATGGTAATGATTGCCTGACGTTTGGTAATTATTGCCATCTGGTAATTATTACCTTTGATTTGGTAATTAGTGCCATTCCAGGTCATTTTTTCCTGACGATTCTTCTTGATGGTAATTATTGCCTCTCGAAAATTTTTTAAAGAAATTGGTTCGTTTATTCATTCCAAACTTATTATAAGTTTGTATTCTAAAAAATTGGGCATGTCTTCGTTATGTAAAAGACAACTAACAAACCCTGTTATATCTCCTACTTCACCACTCTTTAGATACCCTGTTCATAGGCGGGTCGGAGAGGGGGTTTTGGTTGCTAGCAGTAATTCAATATTATCCTTGCGAGGATTTCGCCCAAACATTCTTTTACTCTTTGAGTAAATGTTTTAAGTTCCTTTCAGTAAGTTTACTTAGACACATTTCTTGTCGTTGGTAACTTGTTATTAACATAGGGGAATGTGAATAATTCGGACTTTTATTGACATGTAACTCTTTTAACAGTTTTTGGATATCTGTATATCTTTTGGTTTACAGCGATTATGTGCATCTTCTGTTTACCACCAGTCGAATTATTCTCATTAGCTGTTTACCGTCGAAATTATCTTCTCTATCCTGATTTCTCTCTAAGTAGTTCTTTCAATTTCGCGGCCCTCCCACCCTTCTACCTGGTTTTGTTATCGTGTTTAAATTGTGTTTTAGTTAAGTTATCAAGTTCTTAGTAGTTTTTTTTTTAAAAAAAAAAAAGGGGAACGGTGTTGTGTTGAATCTAGTTTTTCTAGTGTTACTTTTCATTAGGTTATTTTTTATATTCTATATTAAGCAGCTTTATTTTTAGGCTCGTATTTTAGCTATGTGTTTGTAGCAGCTTAGGTTTTTTCATTCAGCTCCGCTTCCACCCCGTAGGGGGTTTTGGTTGCTAGCAGTAATTCAATATTATCCTTGCGAGGATTTCGCCCAAACATTCTTTTCCTCTTTGAGTAAATGTTTTAAGTTCCTTTCAGTAAGTTTACTTAGACACATTTCTTGAAATAAACTGTGCACCACATGAAACTTAACCCAGTCCTGTTTGCAGGAGGGTGGTGGGCGGGAAATAAAAATTTATTGAATAACGCTAGACTGATAGATAAATGAAAAAGATAGAAATAATAACGACGACTGAAATAACAGGTATAAAGGATTGATTATTGACGATTTTATTGTTGGGATTTTTCTGAGTAAATAAATCGCACACAATTCGCTAATTAGGGAAAGGAGAGGAAGACTCGCAATACAAAATGGGAGTGAGAGAAAAGTCCGGACTGTCTTGTTGGTGGCACGGCCAGACCCATTGGGGGGATCTGTCGTCTGCCTTTGCTGCTCCTCTTCTGAGAGTGGGTTCGCACTGTAATCTTCCTACCTGGGTGTCAATCGCCATTTCACGGATTCCACTGTGTTAACATTTCATGCCAACCTCGAATAGTTATTTGAAACCTTTTTCGAGATAAACAGGGATTTCAATTAAAGGTGCATTCACCATCAAAATCGAGTTATTTGAAACCGTTCTCGAGATAAACCGGTTCTTTTTTACACCACGGGGGCACCCTGACCACCAAATGACCATCCCAACCGGCCACCAGTAGACCGCCACTCTGTGCGGAGTGACTGACCACCGCCAGGTAGTCAGTTTGGCGACGACCGTGTGCCGAACATAAGGAGACCTTGGTGGCCAGCATGAGAGCAGCTTGAGGGTGCTCGTGCGGTGCCAGAGGTCTGGTCGTGTGCGACCCTCCGACGGTCAGTGGGCTTTTTCAAAACCCGCAGGGACTCAATATCCCGGGGCCAAACCCCATTGGACCTCATTGGGACCGGTGATTCAATTGGGGCATGAGGAGCTGTCAAGACCAAATCAAGTTCATTGTGGGCATAAAGCGGACTGGATTACTGGAATGAGCAAAATGGCCACATAAAACGGTCTCATTGAAAGATGAATAAAAACAAGAGAGATTGGACAGATTGTTGAAAAAGGAAAGAAAACATTTTTTTGATTTTCAATGTTTTAGTATGAGAAGACGACAATTTGAAGGCAAAAAGGGAACTTTTTTTTGATTTTGAATGTGAGAAGAGAAGAAAAGACATTTGGGTTTGAGATGGTCGCTACATCTCAAATCTCAACAAAGAAATATTGATCAAACTGACATCGGGCTACTGATGTCAGTCTGTTACCTGTGTGAACGATTTCAGCCAACTGTACTGGTTGACAAAAGAACGAGAGAAAGAACTTGCCTGAAGTACTACCACGGACCGATTGTGCCGTCAAAGTGGAAGCACGGTTGGTCGAAAGTATGAAGAGGAGATGAGATCATTATCATATACCAGCGAACGAAGTGAAAGACAAGGAAATGAAAGCAGCTGACTCATGGACAGAGTCGAATGCGGTCCCACACGTGATTGTTGAGATGACATTCCGTGAACGCGATGAAGTAAGATGAGTGAGGTGATGAAAAATGGTTCAAATGAATGTTCAATCTCAGTTGATAATATGAAACTTTGGCGAAGAGGAGAAGCACACGAAGAGGGGTGGTTTTTATCTCATGATCATGATCAGACACCAGAAAACCGTGTTACCCAGGGGTGATGCTGCGATGCGAGAACACTGTGTTCCCAGGAGATGGCAGGGGTGCATTAGTATATAATGTAGCCTCTGATTGGTCTTCACTTCCTTTCGAACATGCAGCCACGCGACCACCTGTTCAAAGGCACACGCCAACCAATCAGAGACTTTGAAGGCCTCTTTAGGATATCAGTGATGGATTGTCCAGAGGAACAATGCAAAGAAGGACGGTGATCAACCGTTCATGCGCAAGATGACCAATCAGACGCTTTTGATCATCTGGGTGTTGTTTGGGACCCGCTGGAGGAGGCAGAGCAAGAGCGAAATGGATTTTGCAATTCGTCACATCACATTTCAAAAAGAAGATTGTCACGGTTAGAGCATCACCAACGGGCGCCTGGAAACGTACGATTTCTGACAGAAACGTAAGTCAAAAAATACGTTTTCCAAATTTTTCCGAAATTCACCCTCCACCGCGCGACCTAGGTCGCACGGTTGGCCAGGTGTGTGAGCATTGTTTTCCGAACAATTAGGTTTCACAGGGTTCAACCAGATTCTTTTTGGGTCCCTCTGGAAACCTGTTTTCCCATGTTTTGGACATAGTTCGGACACATGTAGACCAGCTCTTGTCAAAGAGCGGTCCAAACTTCAAACTTCATGAACAGCGATCAAAATACATGATTGCTAAACTCGCAAGGATAGACGTCTGTGGAAGTCCAAGTCTGGTTTCCAGACGGCTCCAGTTTGCGCGCTGCAGAGAAGTGTCGCTGGATCAAAATACATAGAGCAGTACAGTGACGTACTGGCAACTGTACTGCTCTGTACGAGGTTTTCAGTTTGTGGCGCGTTGGTGATGCTCTTAACAAGGTCAAAAATGTGTGATTTTGGGTGATTGGAACCGACCAGAATCATTCCATATCAATTTAACACCGAGCCTTTGACGCGTTCGTTCGGCTTCTGAGTTGATATGTATCCTCGGTCCTTGATTGTAAATGCACCGAGGAGCGACCGTGGGACCATTGTGGGGAGATCTTGGTTGCTCGTACAAACTTGGAGGCAAGCTGTCATGACAATGACATGATAAGTTGTTTGCTTGCATCAGTTCCGGACTTATCGAGAATGACTCCTCAGCGAGCAAAGTCCTGTCCTCGCGCTTTCCCCTTCACGCTGACCAACTAGGTCGCCTATGGGCCAACGTGGTGCGGCTGCTGGCTGTTCTGGGCGCAAACAGGGGCGGCCTGAGAAGGCCATCCCGAGGTGGCCTTCGGCCTACCCAGGGGCGAGCTACGGGCCGGAATACGACTCGACATGTTGAAGACCGGTCAGGACCAACTTCTGACCCAGGATCCCCCCGTGGTGTACTGAACTCGAGGAGGACAACTGAGAGAAAAAAGCCGATTTATCGTTAACAGATCTTGAGCTTACTTGCCCTTACCTAACCAGAAGTGAGATGGAGACCCACAGCAAAGTTCCTGGGTTCAATTAAGTTGCTGGGATCTGAGGATGAGTAAGGCCGAAGCTGAAGATGATTTACAAGTTGAAATCTTGAATCTCTGAATCTCGGTTAAGTAGAGTCAGAGATAAGCGAGGAGAATGAAGAAGATCGATAAAGTTAAACATTCGAGACTTGCCAGATGATCATGAGCTGATAAAGTCTCCACCTCAACTAATTTTCACCATCACCACTCTCTGCGCACAAGCAGGTATGTAAAGCAACAAGTCCTGAAAATCTCACCCACCTCAAATGGATAGAACCACACAGGAGCTAGTTAATTTAAAATATGTCAACTCACAGCTTTTCTTTCAGAATCAAAAAAACTCACCAAGGATAACCGTGTGAAGAGAAATCGGTACTACTTTTGAGCATGTGCTCTTGGCTTCAGACTTGGTGAAGATGAAAAGGACCTTTATTTGATAAAGACTAGCGAGATAGCCAACCAATCTCCCTTTCAATAAACCCCCCCTGAAAATCAGAAATGCAAGTTAAATGAAAAGCAGAACGCTTGCCTAATAAATACTCACTAAAACTCATTTGATAATCCCCTAAACCTTTTAAAGCTTGATTAATTTATCAATCATTACCTTTCATTACCATCAATCAATCATCAATTATCATTCGTTCTTTAACCAACACTTGATTGATCTTTTATGCAATAACCACCAACTCAATTGAACTCAAGAAAACCCACAAGTCTTTTTGTCCTAATGTCAAACTCATCATGTTCACTCACTCAACCTTCTTCCATAACACTGAACCAACCCAATGAAGTTCGAAGATTTCTTTCCTTACCAGCCTTTGGATCTGATCCAGACTCAAATACATTTATCAAAAGAGCCTCTCACAGACTTATCTTTCCTGATGGCCGGCCCTTCAAGATTGTAGGACCCAATATCTATTGGTTAGGTGAGCTTATAGCACTGGAAATCAACTTCATCCAGTCACAATGGCTGATACTTACCTATTGGATTGATCTCAAAGCTATTGATGAGAATGTTGGAAGTACAGGTAGCTTTCCGAGTTCTCAGAGAATTCTTGACGCTTTTGCTACTGCTGCAACAATGGGAGCAAGTAAGTTTAAAAGAAAACTATCTCACATCGAATCATCCTATTGCTTTCACTAATACTCTGTCACTCTTTTTAGCCACCGTTCGATCAACTACACTTGGGGTCAGTCTTGGAAGTAAAAACGCAATCGAACCTCACCTTGGGAGTTTCAATACTCAAGCACTAGATCATCTCGGATTTGTGGTCTATGTGGCTAGATTGTAAGCCAAAATGAAATTGAAGAGATTCACTTAAAAGTTCGATCATGGGAATTAAATTGATGGGGATCTTTTTGGTTTAGATATGCAATCAAGTTGATCATCCCATTAACAGACCAATATGACTATTGTCAGTTTTTTCATTTAATCATCCAAAAGATGATCTATAAATCAGAATATAAATTTTTTAATTTGATTCAATTCTCCATAGATCATGGTGGTTATCGAACCTTTCTTCGTTGGAGAGGAATTCCAGATACGAATTCTAGCGCGTTTTATGATACAAGTTCAATTGTCTATGAAGATTTTACAAGTTACATTACTACGATCTTGAATTATACGAACCCTTATACCCAAGCAAGTATTTCAAACCCAAAATAAACTTGTAGAAAATCATGATCTAAAGTGGATTCTTCAATATTTGATTTTATAGATGAAATTAAGTGAAGATCCAACGATATTAGCTTGGGAGACAGGAAACGAATTAGATGGACCGGATCCTAAATGGACGAAATCGGTAGCTGAGACAATCAAGAATTTGGCTCCTAATCAACTCGTTGGATCTGGAAGGTATGGAGTGAATAAGGAAGATCTAACAATAGAATCTATAGACCTTGTGTACGACTTTGTCATCTTTTTCTTCATCTTCTTTCAAGAACTAGGTGGTAAAGTTGTGCTATTTCTGACCTTCAGACTTTTATCAATCATACCTCAGTACAGATCATTTCTATCCTCCTTCCTCTAGCCGTTACACCTCAGCTCTCAACCTAGCAACCGATCATTCCAAAGTCTATTTCGCTGGAGAATTCGATTGGACAGGAAAAACCCATAATTGGATCTCACTCTTTTCAATCATCATCCCAGGTTTAATCTTCATAGGTTTAGCTCTCAGCCTCGGTTTACTCAAAACCCTTCGTTTCCCCTACAGAATCTCATTAAGGTCTAGACGAAAAGATTTCTTACTTGAGAAATCGCATTTGGCTCTTCTTTTGGTTGTGCTGGCTGTCTTTGTTTTGGGTGGGATTGGATATAGTGTTGGAGTGGGTTGGGATGGCTTAGAGAGTCTTTTGAGTACTATGGAAAGCTCTGATGGGAATGGTGGGTTGTATTGGAGTTTGTTTGGTAGAGATGATGGCTGTTGTGGGTTTGTCAATCACGTTAGTTCTAATTCCTTTTCTGTCTTTCTGTTATTTCAGATATCATCAGCATTCAGAGACTGACAATATGTTTTTTTTTTCAGAACGATGGATTCACCTTACATTATCCAGGTCAAGGTGAAGATGAACGTCAAAGGATCTCTCGTTTAGTCACTCATGCTGCTCGTATAGGAGGTAGAATCAAGTTTCAAGCCACAGATTCATTACCTTGGGTGAATGTGGTTTGTCCTCAAATCGGATGGACGAACAGCTCAATCAATACATAAAGTTGGATGTTCTAATTGATCTGGTTTAATAAGGCTTAACAGTTTTTTTTGATGGAGATTTCAGAGCAAAAATCTTCTTGATTGTATTTGGTGAAATGTGTCTTCATAAGTTTCTCTTGGACAATTGTTTTCACTAGGCTTGGTTTTTTGAAAGGGGGGGGTGGTAATTCAAACATCGTAGTTGAGCTTGAAAGAATAATTTGGGTATCTTAGTTTGATAGTCGATTAAAAAATATAATAAGAATAATAATTTGTAATATCATATAATCTTTGAAATTGTAATGCAAAAACCAAAGTATAATTGACACAGAATATGTGACTCAGAAATATTAGATGATTAGATTTAGCTCATAAATAAATTGGAGCAGAAATGATTGAAGTGTGTTTGTAAAGAGTATCAAAACAAAGGAGTACCTAGTTTTGTATGTTCTATGAATTTGAAATTGGTGAAATTGTTAATGGAGGGATTTGGCTTTGGTAAAGCTATTGTATGTACACGTAGTGACGTAAAAGCTACGGTTTTAATTTTTGAATTTGGGTTTTGTGAGATGTTGATTTTTGCTGTTGACCCATCTTGTGGTCAAACACGTAATCTATAACTTCTCCCATTTTCAATATGAAGCCCTTAGCATCTGATATCAAAAACCGGATGGTCGGAATGCACCTAGCAAAGATGAGGAACATCAATATCCGCAATGGCCTTGGAATTCCAGTCACGACAGTCCAATCTGTCATTGCTAGATTCAAGATCAAAGATTCAGTTGAGCATCAAAGACCTACAGGGCAACCATCTCTGTTGACCAATTGTGATCTCTGACATCTTGAGTGTGATGTCAAAAAAACTCGCCAAGCTCCCATGTGTGAGTTGGTCCAGGAATCGGCAACAAAAGCTAGTGCTACTACAATCTGGCTGGCTCTGAAATCACTCGGTTACAACTCAAGAGTGGCAATAGTCAAACCGTATTTGAATCCTAAACATAAAGCTGCACGTCTTGAGTTTGCAAAAAGTCATCTGGCGTGGACTGTGGATGATTGGAACCAATTCATCTGGACGGATGAATCAACCTTTGAGATTGGGAAGCCTTATTGCAAAGTTTGGGTTTGGCAAAAAGTGACAGAAAAGTATGAGGCATTCTGCTTGGCACCCTCTTTCAAGTCAGGTCGTAGTTCAGTGATGGTCTGGGGTGGTTTCATTCCTGGACACAAGCTCAAGCTTGAAATCATGGAGCCTGGTTGTCAAGACTTGGACAACTTTATCAAGCAAGTGTACAAAAAATTGTTAGGACCCTTTTTGAACAAGTCATCCAATAACAAAGATCTCATTTTGATGGAGGATGGAGCCCCAGTGCATCACTCTAAACTTTCCTCCAAATGGCGTGAGAAAGAAGGGATAGTTACAGCTGTTGTAATATCTATCAGCCGGTTTTCGAACAGATGTGTCATGTCTGGATTTTACTCTGGAAGTCCAAAATTCAAAAAAAAGACAAGATTTGGCCACTCTCAGATTAAAGCGTATTGTTCTTCCTTTAAGACAAGACCAACTCTTTTGTCTTTCCTCTCCTGACCCTTTTTCATCTCTCTCTTTCTGGCTACTCACTTTTCACATCAATTACCGGTAGACCCACTTCTTATCGCGTGATGTCATCTCATAAGATGCCACTTTCTCTATGGCATCATCTCGATCCTCCACCCTCCTACCCCAGCAAATCGATGTTATGAGCCCTTAGTAGACTATGCTTATACTGAGACTCACTCGAGTCCTTGTTCTGCCCGTGTGAGGTTTTTCTCCTAAACCTCACGTTGCAATCTCATTATCATCTAAGGCCACCTTTCTCGTAGTCCCTTGATCCCATCAACTGAGGTCCTAATATATTGCAACGTCTATCTCAAGATCAACGGCCTACGACAAGTTTAAGAAGAAACAAGAAAGAAGAAAGTTAAAAGAAAAAGTTTAAAACGAAAAGTCAAGAAGAAGAAGAATAAAAAAGTTTAAAGTTAATTAAAGTTCAAGATCAGTACAATAGTCAAATCTTAAAAAAGTTCAAAGTTGTCAAACTCTCTAACCCCGCAATCCGAGTGAATTCAAATCATTGAAGATCTTATTACCTCATCTAGTTGAATAATCAGTACTCAAGATTATTCCACCACTGAATTCTAGTCACCACGCCCAACTTCATCGTACCAAGTGATTCGACTTCCGAGTCGAGTAGGAGATCAATAGATCATCCAAGCGAGGTCTTCCACGAACTCAACGAGGACGTGATGGAACCAGAAAATGAACCAACCTTATCCGAAGTATTGAGACAGCTGAATCTCCTGTCAGTTCAATTCTTGGAAGTTAAAACGAGTCTTGCAGAAGAAACGCAAAGACGTCAAGATGCCGAGAACCGGCTTCAACAATTTGAAACGGCTCAATCGCACAACGTGCATACGTCTCAAACTGCTGCAACGCAGCCGGCTGCTTCTCCGATGCCCACCCCACAACCTGTTTATGTTAATCAAACAGTGCAAGCCCAACGCCAGCCTAAGATGTCTACTCCAGACAAGTTCGATGGTAGCAAAGGCTCGAAGGCCGAGGTGTTTATGAATCAACTGGGGTTGTACATGCAATTGAATAACCACCTATTCGCCAACGATCAGGCTAAGGTCGCGTTTGCATTATCGTACACATCTGGAAAGGCTAGCATATGGGGTCAGAGCTTAACTGATCAGCTTCTCGACCCGAACCTGTCAGACTCAGTAACCTGGACTAGATTTATTGATTCTTTTAAAGCGACTTTCTTCGATTCAGAAAGAGTAACTAAAGCAGAGAAAGAAATGAGGGAATTGAAACAAAAAGGAACGGTCTCAGACTATTGGATTAGATTCTCAGAGTTATCATTAGTAATTAAATGGCCCCAAAACATATTGATGTCACATTTCGAACAAGGGTTGAAGAGAGAAATTCGAGTTTACATGGTTAATGGAGAATTTGAAGATGCTGAAGGCATGGCAAAGTACGCTATTAAGCTAGACAACAAGCTGCACCAACGAACTCACAAAATCAGCTACTCTTCTTCAGCATCAACGTCAAACCCGATCCCTTCAGCCGATCCTGATGCAATGGATTGTTCGGCCTATAAGCTAAATATTTCAAATGAGGAGTACAAGCGTAGAGGAAGTGTTAGAGCGTGTTACAAGTGTGGTAAAACAGGCCATTTTATAGCTGAATGCTTTGTTGGAAAACGAGGAAGAGGGTGGAACTCAAGTTTTAAGAATGATTCAGCTGAGAGTAAATTGAAAGCAAGGATAGCAGAGCTCGAGAGTCAATTAGGAGGAAGTAGTAGTAGTGTTGTAGGAAGTGGTAGTCAAGCTGACTCGTCAAAAAATGGCGAAGCTCGGGAGTGAATGTTGTGCCTCCCCCGAGCAAACCGTGTGTGGAAGAATTAGGCGATATTAGCAATCTAGAAATGAAAGATACTAGAATTATTGATCTTATTTGCTTAACAGACCCACACAATGCCACAACCACCCTTGCCCGCGCGCTCATTTACAGCGGAGCAACGCACGAAGCTGTAAGTAATAGCTTTGTGAAGAAACACGCCTTACCCACGTCCCCTCTCCAAGAGCCAAGAAGTGTAGTTGGTTTCAGTGGCCATGTCACTCAAATCAATGAAGTAGGTGAATTTGTAGTCAATAAGGAAGAGTCACTTACAACCTTCATAGTCACTCAACTACGCGATAAATACGATGTAATACTCGGGATGCCGTGGATAAGAAAGAACCACTCAAGTATTGATTGGAAGAATGGCAAATTGAAGAAAGTCGAAAGCTGCATTGCGACTATTGAAACAGTTCCGTCTGTTCCAATGGTTTTGTCTGGTCCGTCAACAGCCTCGATGGCATCTATGGAGCCTGATAGGCACGCTAGGAACCGTGACGAGGGGGTGGAGTTGACTAACTCATTTACACCCCCGCAATGTGAGTACGATTCGCCATCAGATCCTACACCAATTGAAACAGATTACAAGCTTTTATCCCTCCTAGAGTTACCCGAAGCCAAGAAGTTGTGTCAGGAAGAAGCAAATCATGTCAAGTTAAAGCAGGAATATGTCCCAGATGCCACGTCTTCAAGTCCGAAAAACCCTCTAGAAAGCCAGTCGAGCAACATGGAGGAAGTTAGGAACTATGAAGAGGGGGTGGAGTCTAGCAGTTTAGACTCACAAACACCCCCGCAACGTGAGTGTGCTAATGTTGTATCAAAAAATGTTGAAAGAAAAGATTGCAATCAAAACTCTCTCCTAAATAACAGACCCGTGAAACAATCAACGACTTACCAACAGAAAGGACTGCAAGCGCTGAGAATGTTAGGAAACAAGCTACCCACACGATCATACGCAAGTATAGCGGCCGCCAAGACTTCTTGGAACATCTCAGCCAAGCTCGCAGCGCAACAAACGAAGGACCTACCAGTAAAAACTGCCGCCGAACTAGTACCAAAGACGTATCATGACTACCTCGAGATGTTCGAAAAAAGCAAAGCCAACGTCCTGCCACCACATAGGCCTTACGACTTCCGTGTTGACCTGGTGCCGGGAGCTACCCCTCAAGCTGGTCGAATAATCCCATTATCTCCGAAAGAAAACGAAGCATTAAACGAAATGATTGAAAAAGGCCTGTCTAATGGTACAATTAGAAGGACTACCTCTCCTTGGGCGGCGCCCGTCCTGTTCACTGGGAAAAAAGATGGGAATCTACGCCTGTGTTTTGATTATCAACGATTGAATGCTTTGACTATCAAAAACAAATACCCCTTACCTCTAACGATGGAATTGATCGACAGTTTACTTGATGCTGACCAATTCACAAGCCTTGATATGCGGAACGGGTATAATAATCTAAGAGTAAGGGAAGGTGATGAAGCTAAGCTAGCTTTTATCTGCAGAGCTGGTCAATTTGAACCCCTGACGATGCCATTTGGTCCAACTGGAGCACCGGGATTCTTTCAGTATTTCATTCAGGACATCTTAAGAGCGCACATTGGAAAAGACGTAGCAGCATATCAAGATGATATCCTAATATACACTAAGCCAGGAGAAGATCATGAAAGCAAAGTGAAAGAAATCCTTGAAATCCTTCGAAAGCAAAACATATGGTTAAAACCAGAGAAATGCAAGTTCTCCAAGAAAGAAGTCACGTACCTTGGTCTAGTAATCTCTAGGAATCAGATTAGAATGGATGAAGCTAAAATAAAAGCTGTAAGAGACTGGCCGGCCCCTAAAAACTTATCAGAGGTGCATATGTTCTTAGGATTTGCGAACTTCTATAGAAGGTTTATATCTCACTTTTCCGAAACAACACGATCACTGCACGAACTATCTCAAAAGAACACCCCGTTCATCTGGACAAATCAACGCCAACTGGCATTCGAGAGTCTCAAGGAGTCTTTCACATCAGCTCCTGTTCTAAAGATTGCAGATCCTTACCGTCCATTCATTCTAGAATGTGACTGTTCAGATTTCGCACTTGGAGCGGTACTATCACAAGTCTCTGGTGACGACAACGAATTACATCCTGTAGCCTTTTTATCGAGATCACTATTGCAAGCAGAAAGGAACTACGAGGTGTTCAACAAAGAATTGTTGGCAGTTGTATCAGCCTTTAAAGAGTGGTGTCAGTACCTTGAAGGAAATCCTCATCAATTAAAGGTCGTGGTTTACACTGATCATAAGAATCTACAATCACTTATGACTACTAAAGAGCTTACCAGAAGACAAGCAAGATGGGCTGAAGTGTTAGGAAGTTTTGATTTCGAGATTCGGTTTCGACCTGGAAGACAATCCACAAAGCCCGACGCTTTATCACGACGACCTGACTTAGCACCGTCAAAGGAAGAGAAGTTAACATTTGGACAATTACTGAAACCTCAAAACTTGCCTCCAGACGCCTTTATTGATGCTATTGAGTCTCTAGACGAATGGGTGGAAAACGACGAATTGAAGATTGAATGCCCAGAAATTAGTGAACTGATAATCAGCGCTGAGGATGAACATGAACCTGAACTTATCTGGGGGGACTCCGAAATACTGAATCAAATAAGGACACATTCGAAGAAGGACGAACATATCTCTGAAATTATGAAGCTATATGAAGAAATGCCAAACTCAAAGCATTTGTTGGAATACTCAGTTGAACAAGGAGTGTTATATAGAAATGAGAAAGTAGAAGTACCCGACAATCCGGAAATTAAAGCTCAAATATTACGTTCGAGACATGACAGCAAAATTGCTGGACACCCAGGACGGTCAAGAACATTAGCCTTAATCAAGAGGTCTTATTTCTGGCCTTCAATGAAGGCGTATGTAAACAAGTATGTGGATGGATGTGGATCTTGTCAAAGAGTGAAAGCACGCACCACTAAACCGTTTGGAAGCTTACAACCCTTACCAATCCCAAGTGGTCCATGGACAGATATCTGCTATGATCTAATAACTGACCTACCTAAGTCTAATGGCTGCGACTGCATATTAACAGTGGTTGACAGGTTAACGAAAATGGCGCACTTTATTCCTTGTTCAAAATCAATAATGTCAGAAGAACTTGCTCGCTTAATGATCAATAACGTATGGCGCCTGCATGGAACCCCTAAAACAATTACCTCGGACAGAGGTAGTGTATTTATTTCTCGAATCACAAAGGAAATGAATTCGAAACTAGGGATCGCCACCCAAGCTTCGACGGCTTATCACCCTCAAACGGATGGACAATCAGAAATAACGAACAAGGCAGTAGAGCAGTACTTGAGACACTTCACGTCTTATATGCAAGATGATTGGAATTCATTACTACCCATGGCCGAGTTTTCTTACAATAACAACATACATGTGTCCATTGGGATGTCTCCCTTCAAAGCTAATTACGGCTATGATGTTGCCTTTACAGGGATTCCATCAGACGACCAATGCCTACCAGCTGTAGAAGACAGGATTAATCAAATCCGGGAGGTGCAACAAGAATTGAAAAGCGCTATGGAACAAGCTCAAAGTGAAATGAAGAGGCAATTTAACAAGAAAGTGCTACAGTCGCCGAATTGGGAGAAGGGTGAAGAAGTGTGGCTGAACAGCAAACACATCTCAACGACAAGACCATCAGCTAAGTTTGGACATTGATGGCTTGGACCATACATGATAGAGAAAAAAGTTACTGATAATGCATACAAACTGACATTGCCTGACTCGATGAAATCTGTACATCCAGTGTTCCACGTTAGCCTGTTACGAAAATTTACCTCAAGCCAGATTTCACATCAAAGAAACACAGAACCGCCTCCAGTGATTATTCAAGACAACGAAGAATTTGAAGTAAATGAAGTGCTAGACAAGAGAAGAAGGGGAAATAAGATTGAGTACTTAATTAATTGGAAGGGGTATAGTGCGGAGCATGATTCGTGGGAACCAGAAGAAGGAGTAAGGAATGCAAGTGAGTTAGTAGAAGAGTTTAACAAGAAGTACCCAGGAAGAATAAATTCAAAAAATAGGAAAAGGAGAATGGTGAGAGGGTGACACTTTTTCCCCAAGTGGGTTTTTTAATGCAAACCCGTGGAAAGATGTTTAACTCAGCAACAGGGAGTTGAAACATAAAGGGGGAGTGGTGTTATGAGCCCTTAGTAGACTATGCTTATACTGAGACTCACTCGAGTCCTTGTTCTGCCCGTGTGAGGTTTTTCTCCTAAACCTCACGTTGCAATCTCATTATCATCTAAGGCCACCTTTCTCGTAGTCCCTTGATCCCATCAACTGAGGTCCTAATAATCGATCCTTCCATTTCCCACATTATTGGCCAAATTGATCAATCATTTTTCCTTATCATCCTCCGTATTCTCCTTTTCTGCTGTGTTTAACCCCAGAAGTTTCCTCAGAGTCCCATTGACATCTTCCTATTTGTGTTTGTCGTGCATTTCATCCTTCCATTAGTATTTTGATTACTCCGATGTTAATATTTCTTTTTTGTAGTTTTCCAAATGTCCAACTCCTCATCAATGCCGCCACCTGCGACCCCCTTGACTGGCCACATGAACAATCGTCAGTACATATCATTTCTTTTTTCACCGCTATCTTGTTTTATAATCCACTAATGATCTTCAATTTCAGTGTTTGATGAGCCTGATGATGGGGTGGGCGGCGATCAGCGATCCACATCTATCAGGCAAAACCCTTTATGCCAAGTGGGGACAGTAGGTCGAGAGACCTTTGAAAAGAACAATCAGATGGCGATCGAGGTGTGATTCAAGATCTACACCGACATGGAGGTTGAAATCAACGGTCCAACTCAGGGCACCCCAAAAGTTGGCGCTGGTAAGAAAGCAGCAAAGGCTGACAGACTGAATCTTGTAGATTCTAAGGCTATCAACACCGGCTTTCTAGAGATCCAGACTTGTCCGATTGGCATGAGTCTGAACGAGTTCAAAGACCTGGTGGCTGGAGCCTGCGAAGAGTATGAGGTTGGATTGAAAAATTTGATTCTCAATAGTGTTTTTTCGCCCGACTTGAAGTGGAAGACCACAGTAGGACACTTCAAGGTTGTTCTTGATGGTGCAGTTCAATGGCAAAATTTTGTTGAAGCCCTCAAAAAATCAACCAGAAAAAAGGGAATCGTTTCAATCAAGAACAAGAATATGCAAGTCAGAGTGAGAGTAAGCAATAAGGTGAGTGTGATATTTTCTCAATTGTCAATATATTTCAACCTCAATTGAATAGTCTAGTCTAACATGTTGGTATTCACAGGAATCGGCTACCAAGAAACTTATTGCTGCGACTAATGGCACTGGGGCTGAAGATCAGGAATCTGAGGTATGTTTCCGTCATATCAAGTTTATAATATGATGCATTGACTTTTTGATTATTTCTTCACACCAGGAATCGAAGAACAAGCAAGAGTTAAACACTCTGGCTAACCAGATTCTCAGCCAACATGTGATTGGAACGTACGCCGGAGAACCTGGTACTGTTTTGACCACCCCTTGGGATCCCAACTTTTGTTATTGATTGACTTACCCCGCGGCCTGGATTTGGGCTAAAGGTGTGGTAAGTCCATGTTTTGAAAGGCCAAATGTGTCCAATTTTGGTAGGTTAATCTTCATCTGATCTCTGTTCATGTACATAGATGGCGAAGATTGCCACCGTGCATATACCACCCAATACTCCTGAATTTCAATATGAAATCAAGAAGAACCAGTGGATCCACCCCAACATGGGTGTGGATGACAGGGTTGGACTTTGATTGAAAGGGAGTTCTCATAAATTGTATGGTGCCAATCTCGTCTTGCGTGCCAAGTGTAACACCCAGCCTGGTGCCTCCGGTTCGTGGTCCAAAACATTCGACCTCCATGCCTGACATCAAGCCCAATGTGACAAAGATCGGGAATAAACTTGATGCTTTGGGCCCAACCGACTTGATTGATATCAAGCCCGACCTGAAGAAGATCAAGTTCAAGGAAAGTGAGCTTAGTGTCTTTGAATACATAGCTGACTAGAGTGCTGACTTGTTTTTTTGCCGCCTACCTCCAGATCTCAAAAGTTCCTTTGATCAACCTATCTGTGTTTCCAGTGAGTATGAAAGTGACTGGTCCACCAAAGGTGAAAGCAGCAGTATCGAGTTTGAGGTCCAAAGACCATCCACCTCTCACACGGTTCAATTCAAGCTCTTCCTTGCCGACTGCAACATTGCGTTTGACGATGTCAAAACCCGCACCATTCTCAGAGAAGATGGAATGGTTTTGTGGACCAACTTGATTCCGAGTGTGAAACTCACTGAAGCAATTTTAACTGCCAAAGGCATGGACCGTCAAATTGCCAACCGCCTGATGACCGAAGCTCAAGCCCGTTACTTGAAATGTAAGATAAGAGACTTTCCATTTGGCAGTTGTCCACATGATGTAACTGTTTGTACTGATTACTTTGGCCTCTTTTTCCTGGCTTTCTATCTCAGGATTGACCTCAACCACCAAACATGTGTTATCGACTGGACCACCCGTTGATCAGATGTTCACTCGAAATGATTTGTTACCCTGTGGCTCAAAATGATCATCATCGACAACCTCAAAATCTTCTTTTTAGTTTGTTCTATTCTTGTTCAGCTCAGCAAATTGCAAACTTATCCAAATCTGAACAGCTGAATATCTACAGTTTTATTTCCTTATTGTTACACAAACTATTAAACCTGTTTGCAACTGAGTCAGTTTCTTTATGTGGATTTTTACCTTATCTCATCCTCAGTTGTCTTGTGTTGTCTCGCCGCCAACATATTTACCTTGGATTACAAAATCCAAGGTATCCTCGGATGTAAAACCTTGGACAGAAGCTTCCCGAGGTTTTGATCCGAGGTAATTCTCAGGGCAAAAAAATCCCTTGGGCGGAAACCTTGGACAAGGTCTGTCCAAGGATTTGCCTCCAATGATGCTTAGGATTTCTCAACCCAAGGCATCTATGCTGGCAGTGTCTATGCTTGTTTAGAAATATCGTTGTAACTTTCTTTCAAGCGGGTCACAGTGATTTGGATAAAGCAGGATGATTGATTCATCCTGAAGATTGATTAAATATATTGTTAGGTGCGTATTGTGTGATCAAATCTTTGAGAAATAAATTGTTATTTTTTTGTGTCATCAAACAAATGGAAATGTTTGATATCAGATGAATCACGCACTGCCAATTCATCAACATACGCTGCCTCAGCGGGCATTGTACCTAATCATCAACTTGATGATCTTGATCTTGTAATCAAGGTCAAAAAAAGAGAGATTCTCCCTGGTACAGTTGACTTTGAGATAACCCATACCCTTTTATGGAACCCCAAAAGTATGGGCTATTGGGATTCTCTGCAATAACCCATATATTAGTGGTTATGGGGTATTGCAGAGAATTTTTTGCAGAAGGCAAGATTTCATACGGTTCAAGAAGAGCGAGCGAGGAAAGACAATAGGTTAGGCTGGACTAGGGTTTTGGAATGAGCTGCGCTGAATGTACACAGAGCTCGCCGAGGAGCCCTCCCACAAGATCTCGCTTCCTCAGAATCTTCGTGCCTGAGGTAATTTGTGATTACATTGGCTGACTTAAGGAAGTCAGAGTATGCTGGGCGAGGAGGTACCTTGATCTCAGAGTGTTCTAGAGCAGAGAGAGGTGTGATCTGGTGTGATGTTGTTGCGTTGTTTGATTGCTTTGAAGATTTCCTCCGGACTCCAGGTCTTGAGGCCACTCGTGTGCTCAGTGGTAGGATTTAGGAGTTCTGTAATGGACATCATATTTTTTTATGAACAATATTCAATGAAATAAGTTCTTGAATATCCTGCTCAAGATCTTGCTGAGCAGATGGATTGATTATTGGGTCTGTATCGAGATCGAGGTTTTTGATTTTGTTCGGATTGCTGTTCTTTAGCGATCCATCGGGCGTGCACGGGGTGATGATGCCTGACTTTTGAAAGCAGTTTTGAATTGTTGTATTGGTCACTTCAAACCAAGCCTTTTCAGATCTTTCCATAGCATCGAGTTGGTTAATCTTGTAAATTAGACCAATAGGTACATCAGATTTGTAATGATTGATGGAGTAACTTATGAATTCGGATCAATATCAAAATTTCCATGAGGCAATAATACCAGCATTGAGTGGCTGAATATGTGAGGTGAGGTTTGGTGCAAAAAATTCTAGTCGTATGCTTGTGAGTTTATAGTCAGGAGGTTCACTGTGACCTGAGAAGTTATCAACAAAAAGAACTATCAATTTTTGGGCTATCTGAAGCTCTCTATCCCAGTGAGTTGTCCATTCAGAGAACAGCTCGTAGGTCATCCAGGCCTTTGCGTTGTTTTGATAATAGTATCCAAGAGTCTCAGCACTCTTTTTGTTGAAGCAGGCTGGTCGGAGTGATTTGCCAATAATGAAAGGCTTCAGCTTTTCTGAACCATTGGCATTACATGTGAGAGCAAAAGTTAATCGAGTTTTGTTGGACTTTGTTCCAGATTTTTTTTCTCTTGAGAGACCTTTATCCGGAGGCATCCTATGTCCAGTGATACATATGCAGTCAGCAAAGAGGCTTGTTGAGGAGAACAAGACTGCTTGATATTGATTGACTTACCCATAAACCAATCCATTTTCATCCATATTGTATATGTCTTGAGGGTGGTAAAGATCAGTGATCTCTTGAATCCGTTTTTGGTCAGCAATGGCAGCCTCTAGAGAAGCTGAAGCGGCCTCCCCGTGCTTGCATATATTCTTGAGACTGTTCCGTATCTTGAAGGAATTCAGCCAGCCTTCACTTAGCTTGAGCCATTCAGATTCGGGAATCTTGAAGAGAATGGAAAAATCTCGCCACTTTTGACGGATCACGTCCCCGGTCAGTGTCACACCAGCCATGTCAGCTTGTTGAACCCAAGTCTGCAGAGCCTCGTTGACTTGAGGATGCTTGGTTTGTTTTTTTCTCTTGATGTTGATCCCTACACCTGACTTATAGGTTTCTCGTAGTTTGTCCTGATCTTTAATCCAACTCGAGACTAGAGGTTGTCGGATAATGATTCCAGGGAACGTGGTCTCAAAGTGCTTTGCAGTTTTTGATTGAATTTGATCGTTCTCATTGTGCCAGTCTAGAACCGTGATCTTCTGAGCCAAAGTCAAGTTGGTACGAGAAGATGCTTTCAATTGTTTCGGCTTGGGCTCAGTCTTGTAATCAGATGACTGGTCTTTTGATTCAGCTGAATTATCTGTACGAGATTGTTTCATAGGCCCTGTTTTCATCATGTGAAGTTGATTCAATGCGTCAGCACTCTGTGACTTTCAGTAAAGCAAGTGTTGAAATGATTTGATTGAAAAAAGGAAGCTTATGTGCTTTAGTCACACTTTTTTCCACAATGTTCTTCTGCTTATATTTCAAGATCAGAAGCTCTAATGTCTTGAGCTCCTTGGCATTGAACAGCTTTTCAGCTTCTGATACACTACCAACACTTTTAATCATCCAAACAACACATTCTTCATCAATCAAATTTCCTGCACCATCAATAATTTTTTCATCAGCTTCAGAGAGGGGCTTCCCTTCACTCATAAGCTGGCGTAGTGGGATCAAGCGCTGGTCATTTTCAGTTTTCAATCTAGCATAACCTTCTTCAATATCCAAGACAGAGAAAGGAGTTAAATATTTAAGAAGCATGTTTGTTGGTTGATGAGTTGAGATTGTGATCATAAGTGTGGACCTGTTGGATTTGGAGGGTTTTGAAGAGCTTTGCTGATGTGTCCCAAGACTCCAGGTGTAACATTTGATTTTTTTTTGTGGGAAACTATGGGTTTTTGGCTTTGATTTTCAAAAAAAAAGCTATGGGTTATGGGGTATGATAGAGTTATGGGTTTTTGGCCCCTTTTCCCCGCCCATAAAAAATATGGAGGCAAAAAACTATGGGTTAGGGTAGAGTATAGCTTATTGGGGATATGGGTTATTTCAGAGTCAACTGTATCTAGGTATCCATATGAGATCTGGATATGTAGATACTCATAAAAAATATAATGAAGTTATTATAAGTTTTTAAGATAATGTCTTCAATATTTGACTGGTTTCTGTGCGGTTTGGTGAGATGTCACTCAAAGCACTGGTGATCATTGGGCATGATCAATAGAAGTGGAAGACTTTCATACTGCTTCTGATCAAAAACATTCAAGCAAGGCTGGATTGCTTGACATTGGTACTCTTTCAAAATATATCTATCAACAATGGGATAATATTTGCATATACAAACAACTTTGTATATCCATAGTTAACTTGAGAACATAACTGATGACTTTTGTTTAAGACAAAAGACAATGGAAACAAATCAATGAAAACAATATCAAAGATATCGACAACTTTGAAATAATTTCATGCAAAGGGTGTCAGTGAATAATTCCATACATGCCACAAATATTGATGCTTCCTTACCAGCCACACTAATCACACGGTGAAGGGCTTGGCTCCTTTTCAAACATGACTTGAGCGGCAAAAAACCAAGCTTGATAGGGTTGAAATCCGGCAAATACGAGGGAAGGTAGAGTAAGCGGATGCCTTGTGCATCACATAGCACAGCAATGTTACCTCTGTGATGGATTGGCGCATTATCCATCACGAGGACACTGTTCCTAGCAGGCCATGGATTCATTGCTGGCAACTAATTGATGAATCCATTAAAGTATCAGTGAATAATTGAATTGGCCAAGCTATTAAAAGACACACTTACAAAAGAGTTTTCCAAGAAACCCTCAAAGTCAATCCTAGAGTAGCCACCGGGTTGGATTGACAAGGCCACCAGGCCACCTAAAGAGATGGCGGGTAACACCGACCATCTCTGAGACCGAGTAGATCTTTCAATGCGGGCAGCACGTTCTCCACGTGGTGCTCTTGCATATTCTCAATAACGATGCCTCTTGTTCACGGCAGTTTTGTCTGTATGAAACACGATGAATCAGTTGGAGAAACAAGGAGTGATAAGACCAAGATAAGTACAAGATTACCTGTGAGGACCAGGCATTGCGGATTGATGCCAAAGACCTGACCAATATATTCACCACGCGCCTCCGCGGATTGATTAGGATGCACAGTCTGTGGCTTTTTCCGAGTCCATCCAAGGCATGATCGGACCTCGTTTGAAAGAGTCTTGAGAGAGACATGAATTCCAAATCGGTTGGAGATCTTATCTTGAAGCTCGTCAAGATATAAAGTCGGATCATGTTCAAGTGATTCCAGAATGAAATTGTGTTGAGCTGGTCCTAGAATCGGGCGCGCTCCCTGCCTCATGTGATCATCTGGATTTGTGATCACAGCCCGAGTGGTCTGGTACAGGTAAAACCAGTGCCGGACCGACGTTAGCAACACATCCACACTGAGGGTTGAGACGATGCCGTGGAATCACATTCCACGCATCACCATTTGAACAATCACCATCTTGATATTGGTGGTGTATGTATTGATGAGCATCTGTATGAAGAGC